TGTGTGTGTCACAATGGTACTGTCAGAGTAACTTTTTGGTAGAGTAAAGATGGAAGGCTTTTGGCACACAGTCTTCTCTTCAGGTCAGGTATGTATTCTCTATTCCCTCTTTGGTTCTCTCTCAGGTAAGGATTGTAGAGTTTACACTGTCGATCTGCATGGCGGCTGTATTTGACTACTCACTGTGCACTTCCTCCTGCCTGCTGCTCCAGTATTCAAATGCTGCCATTCTTTACAACACAGTGGTAGAGAGAGACTAAAAAAAGAAAGAAAGTGGTAGAGTGACTCTTGGTGTTTTTGTTTTTCTATGTAAAACACATCAGGAAAAGTGCGGTAGATGAACAAAGACAGAGAGTCGGCATTGAGAAAAGACACTGACACATCTCATTCTCTCCGACAGGCAACGAAGACAAACTACAGCCTCAACGTCCAGGACACCGGCCTCATCTGATGGGGTAAAAGAAGAGCCAGCTTGAGATGAGTGAGTAACTGTGAATCTATATATTAAATGAGTGTATTTTTGTGTCCGCTGTCTTTATACCAAGTAGAACTGATGAACAAGTGAGGCTTTAATGTGATATTTTGCTTGACTTGATAATAGTCGAGCATTATATGCAGCACAATGCCTATAGTTTATGAACTCATCATTGAAAACCAATGCGGTTAAATGGGATTATGACATTATAAAAGAAGACTTTGAGACCAAGTTGTTGGAGGGTTTGGAAATCTACAAATGTGTTGTGCATCTCTCATCCAAAACCTTGAGGTATGTTATATGAAATCAGATGTTCGACACTTGAAAAATTGTATGTAGGTAAATTTGTGTGCATGCTCTCAAACAGACTGGACATATAGATTAAGGTAATATATTCTGAGCATCCCATTTGCATTTTAAACTGTGAAGCAGACATCTCAAATCTACTTAAAAATAATAATACAATTACAGGTGTCAGTAGACTAAGAAACATATTGCAGTTAAATTCTGAAGCCCTTAGCGTCATTTAAACGCATCATATTTGACTATACTGCCATCATAAATGTAAACTATGATAAGTTGAGGCCAAACCAAAGGTCATCTGATGAACCTCTAATGAAGTAACCCAATCCTTTCTATCTTCTTCATTATGGCCGTCAGTAATGGGACACCCTTCTGCAGCTTTGCATAGTTTTGGGACATTTTTTGATGGAAACCTGTAAGCATTTCCAAGGCAAATCTGTTATTGTGAACAAATCTACAGTGTGGGCAGAATGACAAACAAGTCTGTTTACCAGTTGTACTTCATTCTCTACAACTGATAGCTAAGTTATAGAGAGGGGACAAGGACAGTCCATCTGGAGCAGCCATGAAGTCAAGTGTCTTGTTCAGAAACATTTCCATTCATACATTTACTGTAGCAGATGCTTTTATCCAAAGTCTGATATAAGAAATTCGCCACACAGCCAACAATATATTTATTGTGTACAAAGCCAGGTTTTTATTTAATTGTATTTTTCTTCTATGCAGCTATCCGTTCTCAAAAAAAATTAAATTTTTGAAGGTAGAGAAACACTCTTAATGAATGGCCAGTCCATCACCGGTTTACTGGTTTTTTTTGTGTTGTGTTGTGTTGTTTTTGTGTTGTGTGTTGTTTTGCTTTGTTTTGTTTTGTGTTGTGTTTTGTTGTTTTTTGTGTTGTGTGGTGTGTTGTTTTGCTTTGTTTTGTGTTGTGTTGTGTTGTTTTTTGTGTTGTGTGTTGTTATGCTTTGTTTTGTGTTGTGTTGTGTGGTGTGTTGTTTTGCTTTGTTTTGTGTTGTGTTGTGTTGTTTTTTGTGTTGTGTGTTGTTTTGCTTTGTTTTGTTTTGTGTTGTGTTTTGTTGTTTTTTGTGTTGTGTGGTGTGTTGTTTTGCTTTGTTTTGTGTTGTGTTGTGTTGTGTTGTGTTGTGTTGTGTTGTGTTGTGTTGTGTTGTGTTGTGTTGTGTTGTGTTGTGTTGTGTTGTGTTGTGTTGTGTTGTGTTGTGTTGTGTTGTGTTGTGTTGTGTTGTGTTGTGTTGTGTTGTGTTGTGTTGTGTTGTGTTGTGTTGTGTTGTGTTGTGTTGTGTTGTGTTGTGTTGTGTTGTGTTGTGTTGTGTTGTGTTGTGTTGTGTTGTGTTGTGTTGTGTTGTGTTGTGTTGTGTTGTGTTGTGTTGTGTTGTGTTGTGTGTTGTTTTGTTTTGTTTTCTCACAAAGCCAAAAATATTCATAGTATACAACGTTTTTTTGTTTGTTTTACAGTTTGTATTTATTTTTTCTATGGCTGGTGGTACAAAATAATAATAATAATAAACAGTCTAACTCATGAATCTAATCTGTTCTTGTACTTCTTCAGACTTGCCACATCGCTATGGATCTTGAAGATGCTTGTTGACTTCCCTCTCCCACACCTCCTCCCCTTGTCATGGAGTTTGACCCAAACCACCTCCGTGACCCCTGCAAACCTGTGGACGACAACGTCGAGCCCCCCGATCTGGAGTGCGCCATCTGTTTCTGCCAGTTCAACAATGTCTTCAACACCCCTAAGGTACTTCAATGCAAGCACACCTTCTGCCTGGAGTGTCTTGCGAGGATGAACGTGAAGTCCACCCAACCCGACACCATCCAGTGCCCTCTGTGCCGCGCGTACACCCCGTTACCCAACTTGGGTCTTCCCACGCTAGCAAATGACTCCACGGTGCTGTCTTACCTCCCAGCTGCCATGCAGCATGTCTACAGTATCCGCTTTAACCGCAACAAAGGCAAACTGCAGGTGAAGAGAGTGCCCAGCTCTGCCCCGGCCCTGACACAGACCGTCAGCCAGACTCTGGACGTCGGGAACCCAGCGGGCTTGGAGGGTCACCAGGGCAGAGACGGGGGTAGAGAAAGGTCTTTACTGATCACCGTACTGCAAACGCCCCTGTGCAAAGCTTTCATCATGAGCCTGGTGGCCATACTAATCGTCGTTCTCACCATTACTATTATCTTCATCAACAAGAAATAAGCCCAAATACTTCAGTTTTTACATGTACGCTAGAGCATGCGTACAGTGTGCGACAGCTTGTTTTTTTCTAATGGTTTGTACAATGTACACGCAGCTCGCACATGCGCTTTGAATTTTTTTGCACTAATCCGTTTGTCCACAAGGTGGCGACACTGGCCCGGCTGTTTCACAGTCGGGAAAGAAACGGAACGAGAACAACAACAA